GATTGGGACAGACTATCAAACAGGAGGAACAATGTGAAAGGGAAGAAGCTGAGAATGAAATTTGTTCCTCACTTCAAATTCTGGCCAGATCAACCACCAGAGTTCCCCACTCCTGTTGCAATCTCTTCTCTCTTAGGGGGCAAAAAATTAGTTATTGAACTGGGTCTTCAAAAAAAAGGATTTCGATGGCAAGGAATTTGTACAGGGGCAGAGCAGATGTAAGTCTACCTTAGGGAAGAAAGAGAGAGAGGCACTTGAAGCCATGGAGTCAGCAACGCTGGCTTATTAAAGGAACCAGAAGTAGTTCAGAATGGCCAGAGCATCATTACCACGAAGAACGGGAGAAATCACTGGAAAGGAAGATCAGGACCCTGATACTACATGGCACTGCCAGGCACTGAGCAGGGTACATGCCGAAGACCGGATTGCTGCCCCTTAGGAGCTTACAGTCATAACAATACAAGGTGGAAAAAGCACCACAATGTACGGAATGTAAAATGCTGACAGATTTAGGAGAAAATTACAGCTGAGTTTCAGCTATTAACACATTAGGATACCCAATAGCTTTCTGACAGCTAGTAGTAAACCCATCCCTGAGGGGAGCACATGTTAATGTCCTTAGACAACAGGCCCTGGTAGAAGTGGGCATTAAGACAGTTCTTAGAAAATAGAGAAAACCTAGGTATGACAGCTGAGCTATACAGAAGCAACTGGGTGAGCACATAAAATGTGGCTCCTCCCTTTCTCCCACATCCTCGCCTTTACCAGCTCTGGCTTCCGGGAGAGACCCTAGGGCAGACTCATAGTCTCTGAGGGTATTTCCTGTTACTTCTACAAGCCGATTTGGGACGCTGTACTAATAATCAATTCTCTGAGCCACCTATTATCTTTTGAAAAATGAAGGGGTTGTACAAATCATTTCAGTCCTTTCCAGCACTAACTTTCTATGTTTCAAAGAATTCAAGGAGCCTTCTGTCTCTTGTGGTAATCATCAGAATGGGGATTAAGGAAACATTTTATTGTTTCTCATTTAAAATTGATTTTTCCATATAAATTGCAAATGATTCCTATACCATCAGCTAAGTTCTGCCTCCACCCTACTCTTCTTCAAATTCTAACATCTTCATAGCGATATGAATTTATTTTTAACAAGATATGTTCTATATAATCTACTTAAGTGTGCAATGAATCTTTAAAGAAAGGAAGTCCTTTTCTTCTCCCTACTTCCTTCTGCCAACTTCTTGGTAGGTCTTCACTTAAAAGGGCCAAATCCGAGTGAGTGATGAGTGAGTGAGTGAGTGAGTGAGTATGTGTGTGTGTATCACAAAAACATTTAATACTTTAAACCAAATCCAAAGTGAAATAGGTGACATCAAAGCTTGGGGAAAGTTTTAGCAACCAAAATGGTTAATTATGACAATAGTTAAAACCGCTTATATCCAGGTTAAATGAGGTATGATCGTCCCTGTAATTACTACCAAAAGTATAAGCAAACTTCCCATAAGTGAGTTGTGGAAAATTTACTTGTTAAAGAAATTCAATAGTGAATTTTTGGTACACATCCCTTAATTTCCTTTTTTTTTTTTTTTTTTTAAGAAAATAAGACACATCGGACAGACACAAGTCTCTTAGGCAATCTGTGACACTGGCCACATTTCAAAGTACTAAACATGTGTGGGTTTCTCTAGTTGGCCAGGTCACATGTTATAGAAGTAAGAGTGGAACTGACTTTTAATATTATTTTCTTCTCACAGGAAACTATTGTTTAAAAATGAAAACAAAAATGAAAACGAAACAAAACAAAACCCACTACCAAGTTCAAATGGAAATCAGAGCAAGGCAGACTGTCCAAGGTTTTCAAAACATGTCACATAATCTAAAAACAAACCACCCTAATTCTAAGCCATACATGAGCAAAAGTCAAAACTAAAACATGACAGTGGCTGTTAGGCCATTTCTAATCAACCCCTTATTCACTCAGGCCACAAGAGGCTATTTCGGGAAAGCATGAACAAAGCAGGCTAATTTCAGCATTACCCTGAGCTAGGTACATATTCACCAAAAAGAATGTAAATAAAAGTTGTATCTCACATATGCCATTTTCCTTTAGTCTAGTAAGGGTTCACAAGCCAGCCTATGGTCCCCAGAACTTTTATATCACAGTATACAAATAGAAATCCCAAAATGTTATTACTCTCTTACAACCAGAAATCCTTACATAATTATCTAGTACCACATGGCCAATTACTTGATCAGCAACTTGAATCTACAACTTCATCCCACACAAGACATTGCTAAGATGCTAATATTATCTCTTAAGGTTTCTAAAACATTTGTGGAAGACTACCTTAAGTGCCCAATGCCCATTTTGGGTATATTGGGCAGTTAGCTAGAATTCCATATTCAAATAAATGTTGAAGGCGCTTCTTTTACAAGGTTCAAAACTGCTGAACTAAAAGGTCATTTCTGTGCAGTTCCTGCAGAGATTCTTTTTAAGTAACACAAAAATAAAACTTCAATATAAGATATCTTTAGATCAGTAGATTTGACAAATGCAACCATTTACATAAAATAGGCCACTCAGCATAAACAACGGTCTACAAATTTAAATCTCATAAAAAGATGATTTCCACAGAGACTCTTAACAAAATGTTTTCTATAAAGTGCCTCGTTTTCCACTAACTCATTAAAATCAACAAGGGTTTTCAAATAAAAGGATGAAGGCAAATATCAGAGGATGGCAATTACAAGCATAAAACACAACTGCTACAAACTCACCTGGATTATGCTCTAATAAAGAAGTTATCCACATCAGATTTCAAGATTGTACTAAATGTAATATTAAACCAGAAAAGAATCTAAGAACAAGTCACTATTATGCTGTTACCAAATAATCCACAAATCAAAGGAAGTCCTATTAAAAAAATAAAATCAGTGTTTGCATCTATATCTACCATAAAGGAAATGGAGAACAAAAACACTAACTTAGTTAAGAACATTTTATAGACTCTGGTCTCTATACTATAGTAATTCCATGGTCATGTCCTATTAATATGTCATTCAAATGTAAATTGGTAGGCATTTTTGTTCTGGAGAGAAAGCATCTGTTTCAGAAGCCAATCTGTTCCTTGCTAAACGGACGGCTTGGAGACCTGGTCATCTAACTGCTCTGATGCCATTTCTTGTTCATCTATTACTTTGGGGAAAACAGTACCTATCTCAACAGAGTCATTGTGAAAATTAATTTTCCAACCTAAAACTAAAGTGCAATTCAACTAATAACGCTGTGGCAGTAACCTACTCAAAGTCAAAAAAATTTTTGGATTATCCATTTCACAGTTCCCAGCGATAGCTCAAAAAGTTGAGAGCAAAGGAGTACACAAGTAAAGCCCAACCTCACCATAAAAGCAAACAAGTGTTTTTTTAATGTCTCAAGATGTATTTATTTCCAACAGGTCTTAAGACTAAGATGCACATTGAATCAAACTAACCTTACCCAGTAAGATATGAGATAAATAAACTGGTGAAGGGCATTAAGCTCAGTAGAAAAGAACTATGCACACATTGGGCCATTCCTTCAGATGAAAATTGTATTTTAAAACCTGAAAGGTTGAATGTGATGAGCTGATGCTGCGTATAGAAAAATCTTGCCCTAACCCATTTTATCTTTACTTTCTACCTGTGTGAATATATGTATCTCTATGGTATCATGTTTATTCCATCAGCAATGACATAACCAATATCAGCATTTTTAATAGTGTTAACCATGATGCCAAATCATATTTATAAAAGTCCAATGCTAGTCAAAACTCCATAATCACCCAAGTTCTGATTAGTCGAAATTACTGAGGCAAACTTGTTTTCTGAGATTATGCATTAACTCCCTGCCACAAGTTACAAGCAGCATCTAGCATACTGCTACCTGTCAAAAAAAATTTATTAAATATTTTATTGTAATTCTATTACAAAATTTTTTTAAACCACAGTTAATACAAATGAAGGAAAACAATATTACTTACAGTCAATGTTACTATAATTCCTGAAGAGAGATCTATTTGCTAATTCATTTATTTTTATTTATCTGAGGATTTATTTCAAAGGAATGAGTCTTCAGCTCTGGTTGTAGTAACCCACCGCCCCGCCCACCGTGCATCACAGGAGGAGGGTTCTCCGCGTTTTCAATGTAGTTGCTTCATTTTTACACAACATACGGCATTGTTGGCCCCACCCACTAATTGACAGATGCAGCACCCCCCTTCAAACATCCCATAACCTCACACATTTCCAAATGTCCTCTAGGATACAACAGCCCCAAACTGAGTACCACTGTATCTAGTTAGGGCCCTTAAACTTTTGAGTAGGAAGAACTTCTGTTCTGAAATGTATGGTTTAGTATTTCACTTGTAAAAAATGATTTCTAGGTTATCCATAATTTATGACCCTACAATTACTGCAAAAATAACTCAGGCTAAGTTCTTCTTCTTTCCACCCCAAGCTTAATATAAGCTACAGAAGTACAAGCTGAAATTTCTTTTAATTATCACTAGACTGGGCCAAAGTAAGTGGTTACCAAATAATAATTTAAACTAACCCCCAAAACAGCCATGTGACTCAGTTTTATAAGTTTCTTTATATGCAAGAGATGCTGCCAATTTTCAAATATTTGAGGTACTGAGGACCAACTGATAACATCAAATTTCATTTTATTTTAAGACTACGCCCTTCAGCAAGCCTAGTTTCCCAGTAACAGAAAGACAAACAAATATTCCTAAGCCTACTCATACTATCCTGAAACAACAGCCCAAAAGATGAACACTGTGAAGAAGAAAATAAATAAGTTAAATTTGACAACCTCGTTGCCCTTCAATTAGTAATGACAAGATATCACACAAAGGCTTGCTTCACAAATGTGTAAACAAAACCTTCACCCACCTCACACACAGCATTCAACAAACAACATACTATGTAAAACGAGTATTACTCTATATTGCCAGGTTAAATTTTCTTCCAGAAATATTTTAATAAAAATTGGCCATTTCCAAAAAGCACCCACTGCATGCCCATCAATAAAAGAGAACCATTAACAAAATAGAAAATTTACCATATGGCTATGATTTAAAGAAAAATGACTAGCAAACACTCAAGCACATCAGCAAAGTCCAATATTAAAATCATATTCCTTCTTATGGGCTGATTAGAATTCTGAAGATATCGAAATAAAATGCGAACTATTTAAGTCAAAGGACCTCTATAGAAGCATCTGTCCTCAAAGGCATTCCAGTTTGAGACTCAATTTCAGAATAAGGCATACATAACAAATGAAAAGAGGACATACAAAGTGAAAAGAGGGATTCTACAATTCCCAACATATTCTGAACCTGGAAAAAAAAAACAAATCTAAACTTTTTTAATTATTCTTCTTTAAAACAATTGCCAAGGCTGGAATCAAAGATAAATAGAAGGCACAACAGTTTTGCTCTGGTTTTGTGTTATTCAGACTGTGGTTTTGGTATTTTGTTTGTTTTTACAAATACAAATTAAACATGAAAAAAACTCTACTTCAGAAAAACATAACAACTCAAGAACAGTGTCATGTGTTGCATGCTAGACATTTAAAACCTACCTCAATTTAAATTTCAAGGTAAAAACAGTGGATTTTAGAATTGTTTTGTGATCATATATTAAAAGAAAAAAACTTCACTAACACCATTTATTCAGTTTTTAACCATACCAGAGAGAATCAAAATTGTCAATTTTTCCAATGGTAGCTTTTCCACACAGAAGGTAGTCATGACTCTCCTAAGAAGAAACAATTGGGCTTTTTCCTGCCTTCAGAATGTTCACCCAATCTTGTATTTCTCAAAGGCTTTGAAACACGTAGGAAATAAGAAATAGCCCAATGAATAAAACATACCAAATGTCAGTAATAAGCAAGACACATTACTTTGGGGAAATGGCTGTTTGTTAAAAAAAAAAAATTCCAGTCTATATATGCAAAAGTAAAGCAGGAAATCCAGTCTTTTTTTTTTTCTTCTTTTAAAATCCATTTTTCCTAAAATATCATTCCACAAAATTGGAAGTGAAGGACTAAAAGGTGAGGGGGGGGGAGGGAGGGACACACCATTAACACAGAAGGTAAAATTGTACAAACTTAAGCAGTTTATAAGAGACTGGGGTCATACTGCAAGACACCAAAGGGTGGCTGAAGAAATTCACCATTCTGCAGGAGCGGAAGTTGGTACTGCTGCATGAAGACCAATGAAGAACAATTCACTGCCTTGGAGCAATCGCCCTTCCCACTCCAAATCCCGGTTTCTGCACCATGCCTCCGCGGGGAGGGCCTCTCATTCCACTGCCCAGCCCACCTCGAGGGCCTCCGGGTCCCCGCAGGCGGGTGTCTCGCCGGTCCCCTTCTCGGGCAGCTCGAGTCTTCTTCTCTTCCACATTCAGACGGACCTCACCTCTGAACATGATGGGCTGTAAGAATCAAGTTGAAAAGACTTACACACAGTGCCAATGGGCTACCAACTATCAAAGTAAAAACAAGGCTATTATAAAGAACCAGCAGCATATAAATCACATACTTTTCACAATTAAATTTTTGTTTCAGATTCAGAGCGCATAATGCTCCCATTAACAAATATATGGAAAGGTGGTTAGGTAAGCGGCCTAGTTCAAAAAAGTCAGTTTCAACAACACAGAAACAAGTAATTCTCATTTACTTATTAAAGTAAATATTATTTTCCCATAGAATTACATAAATAGAATATAAGAATTGCCACCTTCTCTGTGGATTGCAAGGCTCAGAACAAAAACCCATCATCACCTAATGTGAAAAGATTGCATTGCACATATTTATGGAAAGTACATATACATCTCAAAAACATCACTAATTTCATCTAAATATAACTTATACAATGCTGTTGGTCTTAATACAATCTTGAAAAATACTGAAGACAGTAAAGATAACATTATCTTACTGAAAAGAAAAAAAAAAAAAGAAGATACAATACACCCACACAGTAAGTCTTTGGTCTTCTTTTTTGCCCTGCGGAGCTAGGGTAGGAAACGAAGTGTTACTCCAGATTCCAATGAATTCAATATACACACTTCACTGGCACTCATGGGTTTTCTAACTGAAATATTGTTTACAATAAATAGCTAACAGTACTTACTATGCAGGTAAGTATTCTATATGCTTCATGTTTATTATCTCATTTAATCTTCACAAGAACCTTCTGAAGATTGTTATCATACCCATTTCAGAGACTGGCAAACTGAGGGCCAAAGGAGGTTAAGGAACTCAGCTCAAGGGTCACAACAGTAGTGAGTGATGAAGGAGGAATTGAAACTGAACCATCCTGACCGGAAAGTATAAGCTCTGAACCATTATGCTGTGCATGTCAAACACTATGGACATCAGGCTTATGCAAACAACTTCTGTACTCATAAAAAATTACCGAAGGGACTGCTACCAATACAGTGAAATAAGGGGGAAAAAAAAATCAAGCTACATTTAAAGTTCCCAAAATACAAAGGAGTGATCTGAAATCACTCCTTCATATACATTTAGGAGAGTCTTCTTAGAACTCTTAACTCGAATTTATATTTTAAATTCTGATTAAATCTATATTTATACACTTACATATTTTAATTAACACTTAACATAAATAATACAGATATTTTTATACACATAGTCTACAAATCACTTCACACACAATTTGAAGCGCTGTTCCAGGCAATTGTTCTAGATACAATAGGAAAAATAAAATCATACTAAAGCCTGAAAGATTAAGGCCAGAGAGGCTGGGGCTGAGGACGTTTTAAACATAGCTATGGAAGACATCGCGGAGGAGTGACCACGAGGGTAGAAGCAATCTGAATGAAAAGGTATCAGACACGCTCACAGCCCCTCCTCTTCTGAGGAAATTTACCTCAAACATTTCTTACAGATAAAGATGCCACGGCTTACCTACATTCATTAAAAGAAACCAACCTGTTATCTTGGACAATTTCCTAAGAAGCCAATTACCAAGTCTGATCTCCTTTAGCCCACTGAGAATGTCACACTCTGTAAGGAAACGAAGAATTCAAGGCTGCACCAAAAAGGCGGGCCGGCCACTGTGCCCGCGGCCTGCCCAGGGAGGGGGGTATCCACCAAGCCTGCCGGAGATTTCCGGGTTCCGTGCTCTGGGGCTTCGGTGAGATAAGTCACTGTTCCCTCCTCATTTCTCAGTGTTGTGCAGGAGGTGCTTCACAAAAATAGCGACTTCAGTGTACACACCTCACTGGCACGCAGGATCATGCACATGTGCAGGCTAAGGCTCACGTAATGTTATGACCACAACATTAAACTTTGCAGTACAGCTGTAACACTGTGGAGAACATGAGAGGTTCAAGAGAACATCTGGGAAATAATGATCTACAATATTTTTATTATGTGGTTAAAAAATGTGTAGTTTTAATTTACAGAGATTGAAAGCAGATTAATGGTTGCCAGGGGCTGGAGAGAGAGGATATGGGAAGAGACTGCTTAATGGGGAAGGTACTTACTTTTGATGAAAACACTTGTGACAAGATAGGCAACAGTTGCACAACGATGTGTGTTAATAAATGCCACTGTACTGTACTAGACATATTGGGACAGAAGCACCTCATAAATTATACAAATGTCTAAGCACTATGCTGTATGCTTTATAATGCTGAATATCACCTATAATTGAAAAAATTTTAAAAAGAAACAGAACCTTTTTTTTTCTTTTAAATATAAAAATAGTCCTGGCCAGTGTGACTAAGTCGGTTGGAGCATAGCTTGGAAAAGTGAAAGGTCTCGGGTTTGATCCCTGGCCAGGGCACATACCTACGTTGCGGGCTCAGTTCCCGGCCCGGGCACGCACTATCCCCAGTCCAGGAATGTACAGGAGGCAACCGGATCAACGTTTCTCTCTCACATCAATGTTTCTCTCCCTCTCTCTCTCCCTCTCTTTCCCCCTCTCTTTCCGCCTCTCTAAAACCAATAACCATGTCCTCAGGTGAGGATTACAAAAAAATTAAAAGTAAAATTAAGATGGTTACTTTTATGCAAGTTTTACATAAATTTTTTAAAAAAACAAGATTTTTAAGATCCCACACCAATCTCAGTAAATTAACCATTATTTAATGGAAGAACCTTTGTTCTTCTTTACCACTAGTGCTATGAAAGTGTTGTTTACTAATGAAACACGTGGGGAAAGGGAAGAGTTCTTCAGGAACCACACAATAAAACAATTCCGATTCTATAAATCTCTCTATAATTAAACTAACAGTTACATTAACAGAAATGGTTCCAAGATGGGTGACTCCAAAGCTAGATAATTTATAGAATAAAAAGAGAAGTTCCTCATAGTTACAGCCCAGCCAGCAATTTTATACGAAGACTGCCCTGGGCAAATAGGCTCTTAAATTATTTTAGCTAAATGTAACATTGTATTTCACCTTGTACACCAGAAGCCATCACCAAGAAACAGAATTTGCATAAATCTCAGTGCACTAGTTAACTATTGGTTGTTTATTTCTCAATATTCACTTTTTCAAAAACTAAGTTATTACAACAGAAGCTTTGTTCTAAACTCCCAGGCAGTTCTTTTGATACTGATGATTGAACGTGATAGAATGTATTACCCAAACACGCTGGAATAAATTACACTTTACATAGAAGACATAGTTGGTAAGGATGAAGATTCAAAGAGCCAACATACCTGCTTACTTGAAAAAAAAATCAAGATGAGAAACTGCTTACCCTGTTGCTAAGGACCTTTTGAACAGGCTCAGAATCATCAAACACAACGAAACCAAAATTGGGTAATTTCCCACCGCTGTTAATGCGCAGCTCCACCACATTCCCGTAATCTGCAAGTAAAATACAAATTCTCAGATACCTCATTAGAACATTTCTCTTAAATATTACATGCACACTACCCAACATGACATAGCTACAGAGCATTTGAAATTGTAATTAGTCATTGTCATTAAGTGTAAAAAACACATGATTTTGAAAACTGAGTATAGAAAAAAATATCCTCATATTTTTACATGCTGAAATGACAGTTTAGACACACTGTGTTAAATGATTACATATGTGACTCATCTTCTATTTCTACTGGAGAGTGCTGCATTAGATGAATTTAGGGTTTAAAGATTGATCACCTACTTTGAAAGAAGTCTTTGAGCTCTGATTTATCCACCTCATGAGGCAGATTGCCAATGAAGAGCTGGTGACTGTCAGGGTGTCTCACAACTCTCCGGGGCTCAGCATCACCTTGCTCACCAGCCTCACGGACTAACAGAAAACAAAAATGAAAGATGAAAGACCTTTCAGTGACTATTCTATCCAATCACTTTCTCTCTACCCTAAATACAGATAATTCCACCAACTCCACAATTTTTTAAGTAAGCAAGTATCAAGCACCTCTCCCCCAAAAAAACAAGTCCTCACCTCATAATCCCCCAAACTAGAAAAGTCACCCTTCTGCACTCTTACCTGGTCTAGGTCCCCTCTGGGGAGGAATATTTATCCGCTGTTCTCTAACCCTTTGATCCCTCTGAGGCCTCTGCGGTGGAGCCTGAGATTCAGGCTTAGACTCCGGGCGAGGCTGAAAAATGTGCACGTTAACTTTTGTGTGAAAACAAAGCTAGCTCGCTTTTTTCTTGTGAAGTTTCTTAGCAAACAATAAGGTTTAAACTAGAAAATGACAATTCTCTCTCTCACACACACAAAAATCATTAAAAATCATCTTTTACTCTTCTGTCCTATACATCAGTTTCCACATTGTCTAAATCTCTATGAAACTGCATTACTCAAAGTACTAGAAAATTTGTCTTAACACAAGCTTAATTAGAAACTCACCTGGGAAGCTGGTACTTTAACAACATGAGGTGGTATCCCAGTAACTGGAACAGCCCCACTGGGTGGAAGGTTCTTACTGGTCACAGATGCCCAGGAAAACGTCTAAGGTAACAAAACACCAACACCAGCTAATTACACCATATATAAAAGCTATTAGCTCCTGATTTCTTGTACATGATATACGCATTACATTTTCATAGGCAGGACAGTTTGGAAGTATCCTGACATTCCATCCTCCCCCATTTACAAATTTAGTACTAAAATTTCTTAGGACTGCTATGATGCAAACATTGATCCAATTACACCAACTTTAGAATTATCTTAAACACCTTGGATCCATTATCAAAATCACAAAATCTTTAAATCTTAATTATCTTCTTTCCAATCTCCACTGCCAGGACCCTAATCCAAAAGTTTTCTCTCTCTCCAGAATTACTATAATAGCCACCTAACAACTATTACTCATCCATTCTCTATCCAGCCAACTACTTTTCTTTCTACTTGTAAGCTAAAGCACCTCACCGCTTCTTCCCAACTCACTCACTAGCTAAAGGAGAGACCAAGAACCCTATCCCTCCCTTTCACAGACCGTTTCCCTTTCTTCAAACAATGCCCATCACGGGGCACCTGAATTAACTGTCAGATACACATAGATGGTATTAAAAGAACTCTGACCCCATAAATACAGAACTGAAAAATAGTCCTTCACAGAGTTTCAAATGTAAAGGTTCTGTGAGTTAGTTAACGTCACCCTGATGTGACCTACAGGTAACTGAAAAGCTTCAAAATTTTGAAATCAGGTTTTCTAATTAGAAAAGTAGTTATATTTCAGCAGTTTGCTTCTACTCCTACTATAAAGTTGTCCTTAATTTCATTTCATAGAAAAAGGCAGGAAAGTCTGTTGTCTCATATTATTTTTTAAAGATAAATTACCCACTTTGTTATAAAAAGCATGTAATAACTTGCAATTTAAAAGATGAGGGACTGTTGATAGGCTAATAAACTAGCACCTGACATTTCTGGTCTAAAATGTATTCAAGTTTCCTTAGAGGGGGAAAAATTTTACTTTTCATTTTATAAAGCAATGTGCATCTTCTTCCCTGAAGCACGGCTCAATAGGTAAGAAATTTCCCTGAACCACCAATATGAAAATGCACTTACAAAAGTCAACCAAGCAATAAAGGAAAAGAGAGATTTAAAAAATAAACTAAAAAAAATTTAAATGGAGACATGTTGCATACCCTCAAGTCTTCCTGTACCGTCTGAGCTATGTCTGCAGGTGCTGGGGAAGAACTCTTCTGAGCATCCTCGGGAGCAGTTTCTTCCAATACTGGCTCACACTTTTCCTCTTGGATTTCAGATACAGGTTCTTGCTCCGGTTCCGGTTCTGGTTCAGGTTCTGTTTCAGCAACAGGTTCCTCTAAATGTTCTTCCAAGTCATTGCTTTATAAGGAAAATTTGAGAAATATCATTCTGCCCCTATTGATTTAGCAAGAAATCCCCAAGTATCTATAGTTAATAGAGACTGGAACCCAAAAAAGATCTAAAAAATACATGTCTGAATATGAGCAAATCTTAACTACAGTTATATCAGCTCGGTTCTCATAAATGAATGCATCAAAATAGATCAAAATGAACCAAACCAGTTTCTAAGTTAGAATCCCAAAACTATTACAATTTACCTCTCACACATCACAAAACTCTACCAGGCTATGATGAGGGAGAAGGGCAATTGAGCTGTTCAGTAGGTACAGTTTCAGTTTTGCAGGATGAAAAGTTCTAGAGTTGTATTGTACAACCATGTGCAGATAGTTAACACTACTATACAGTACACTTAAAAACGGTTAACAAGGTAAATTTTATTTGGTTTACCGCAAAAGAAAAAAACCTCTCATAATAAAAAGGAGGAAAAAAGACACTACTTATGATTCAGAATAGTTCTTAAATTTCCGCATAAATCAGTTTGTTAAAGCTGCAGATGTCTTCCCCTCTGAAATTCTAATTTGGTGAGTTTATAGTGCAAGAATAAATCATTTTCAACCAGCAGTCCAGGTACGTACTGGGATTAGTTCATCAGTACACCTTGAGAAACATTTGAATATGTCCTTTAAGTACTGAATATTAACATTACTGGTATCACATGGCAACAATAGTTTATTCATTTCCATTCCTATCAAACATATTTCTATTCCAGTTGCAGATTAAAACAAAAAGCACCTAAGGTACAGTCATGCATTTATTGTCTGAGTTAATTAATGAAATTCTTTAGTGCTGCAAATCATGTCTGAATGTCTATCAATTTATGCCTGATCCCTAAATAGGTCCTTGTACACTTTATATCCCCTCAGAGAATGTAATGCAGTTACTTGATGTGTTAATTACTCAGTAAGAAATCCCAACTCTTTTTCATTTACCACTCAGAAAAAACTAAACCAAAAAGCAACTGATACTATTTAAATAGTCCTCATAGTGCAAACTATATTAAACACATTACAGATTTTTGAAGCTCAAAGATACCCAAAGTGAAACCTTCCTTTTGAGAAATTACCATTATTTTCTGAGATAATTCTGAGAATACATGACTGCACTCCAAGAAAGAGAAGGACTAGACAACCCAAACTCTCATGCAGCTCTGGACAGACGAACAGTTTTCCTTACCTGACAGGCTGATCGTAGAAAGTTCCAGGATCATCAGGTACCACCTCAGGTGTCTGCTGTCTTTCCTCAGGTTCCTCTACTTCTTCTTCAGACTCTTAAGTGAGAAAAGAGAATTTGAAGTAATTTGTGCTTATGTAATTCACCATGTTCATTCACCATGATGAAAAGAAGGCAATAAATAAGAAAAGCAGATATATAGTTAAAGGCTGATGGCACAGCCTTTAAGAATAGAATAAAGGTGGTTGTAGCGTCAGATTAAGAGCATGGAATGTGAAGTCATACTGCGAATAATCCAACACAGGCTCCACCACCTAACTAGCTGTATGATGACATCAGGCAAATTCTCTGTATTGCAGTGTCCTAATCCACTAAATGGGAGCAATAGTACCTAACATACTTAACTATAAGGCTGTTGTATTACATGATAAATATAAAACGCTTAGAATCATCTCAGCCACACAAAAATTGTTCTGAGACAATTATTTATGGGTCTCTTGTGTTTCTTCACATCTTCACTTGGGGCAATGGCACCCTTTGTTCCACACTATCTTTTAAGAACATTTAGAGAGCAAACACCCTCGGAAAATTGTACATCCCTCCAGAATCAAGGGTGGGCATGTTTACTGCCTATTCTAAAAGATTTGGGTTTCCTAAACTTAAGGTTCCATTCTTGTAATGAACCCTGTTGCCATACAAGTATCATTTGGACTTTGATGTCCTATGGAAACTGTAACAAAAAACACTACTACTTTATGCTGTAATAACCTGTCTACTTCTGATTTAGGGGTTTCTGTCTTCTAGCAATGTCCATGAAATAGACTAACTTATTAGCATCAACTCAGGTTAAAAACTCAGGCCCTTCATGTGTCTTGACAGGTAGAAGTTATTAACGAAGTATACAGACTATAATGGAAACATTCAAGGATCCCATATTCTCTTTGAGTCAACTGATGCCATCAAAAAAATTTTGGTAAGTAACTTACCCTCCTGAGGCTCAGTGACGAAGCCACCAAAGACTTCATCTTGGTACCTGAAGATGTCGTTGTGAACGTAGAACTTATTTGCCACAGAGCCCTGCAATGCCCACAGAGAGTTTTGCTTACTCAGCAGACTTTTAACAAACCAAAGTTACCCCACACCTGCAATTCTCCACTGAGGGCATTATTGTCCCCCACCCCCCAGGAGCCACTCGGCAACATCTGCGGGCATTTCAGTTTTGCAACGAGGAGTGCGGCAATGGATAGCTACTGAGTAGAGGGCAAGGATGCTGCTAAACATCCTTCAATGCACAGCCAGTCACAACAAAGACTTCTTCAGCCCAAAATATTAATAGTGCCAAGGCTAAAAAGCCCTGCTCCACATTATGGCTGTTAAAAACTACACTCAAATATATGACTTGCTTTAAATACCACCAGATGGATACCCAAAAACTGACAAAGCTTTAAGTATGTAAGCGCCACAGCCCACACCTCACATAATTTCTTGAACAATAAATACCTACTTCCAACTGTGACAGATTTTAAATTCCCTAAATCTGTAGCCAAGACTATTGATACAAGCACTCAAGGGTGGTGTAGCTGAAAAGGTCTGTATACACTAGATTAGGACACTCTTGACTCTAAATCCAATTATGTCAACTACTAGTTAATTATTCAACTTCTAAGGTTGTTTCCTAATCTGTAAAAAGAGATACCACCCTATCTTTAGAGCTGAGTATTAAATGAGATAGTTTATGTAACAATGCACTATATACGAAGGTAATGTTAGATTCTTCCTCTTTCGTATCCCATATAACCCAATGCACATTTAGAAGTCCATCAACAGTTGTACACTGAAGACACTCTAAGCCTTCCTCTAAAAATCACAACTAAAATGACCTCATGTAATTTTCAAAGACAACAGAGTTATTTTATATTCAAACAGTGAAGTCATAGGGGTTTTAGATTCACTATTATCCTGAACAGAGTATTACATAAGAGTAATGCTAGAGAAAACATTTAATCAGCAAGTCCTAATTGAACCACTTCCACGTGCTTATGTACACAGGCCTCCTGCCATGGTTCAGTCTGCACCAGTTGGGAAAACAGTACAAATGCAATTATTTAACATAAACCTCTGGTCCCTTTCATGATAAGCATGATAACTAAAAAGAACCAGAGCTCCTTGAAGAAAACGGCTGATTCCAGCGCTGGGGCTGAGACAGTGCTAGGTGAGCCTCAAACATCTTGTGCCACAAAGTTACAAAGTGTTCATATATATTTATGTACACACACACACAAGCCACCTTAAAGAGGATCACACTTACCATGTCTGGGACATTTTTGGTATCAATATAAAGTTTGCAATGGATTAAATTCATTATATAAACAAAGACTCCAGGAGTGATAACAGATAGGAGAAAAGGCAAAGTTCTTTACAGTAGAATACCAACTAATAAACACAGAATGAGAGAATCAGATAATCATCGTTTGTAACCATCGGAGTAGTAGTTGGTCTCTGCAAGAATCATCAATGAATGCAAAATCTAGTACATAAGTTTGGTGAAGAACAGGGTACTTGTAGAGTCTCAAAGAATCACCCACAATTTACTTACTAAAGAGATAAGCAAAAACATTAACTGCACAGTGGCAAAACCCGTTGACCACCACCTTAACTAAGTAATCAAAGTTAACATCACTAATGGTAAAGTCTGGCCAGCTAGCTCAGTTGGTTAGAGCATTGTCCCAACAGGCCAAGGCTGCAGGCTCGATCCCCAGCCAGGGACACATAAAAAAAAAAAACCAATGAATGCATAAATAAGGGGAACAAAGCAATGCTTCTCTCTCTCTCTCTGTCTCTCTCTCTCAAATCAAATCAGTAAAAAAATTTTTTAAAGAAAAGACTAAATTAATCAAGAGCCTCCCTAACGTAAAGCACTAAAAGACATGTATTACTGTAACCTAACTCTAATCACAGGTAACAGACAATTCACACTGAGGCATTCTACAAAGTGTAACTTTGTTGGGAACCTTCCTGCCTGACTTCAGGGACTGTAGCTTCAAAGACAGGCAAAAGGGCCCCGAGGCTGGAGCTAAGCAAGGAGGCCCTGGGAAAACAGGGCACTGAGGAGACAAAACCTGTCCCCCTGGCAGGGGGACAGTCCCTGCCTCCCTCACATCGCCCTGCTTGGCCCCGGCGGATGGCTGGTTAGTCAGTGATGGGTAAGACTCCTCAATGGCAGGGGCAACCTAAGACAAGCACAGTCTTAGGGGCCATCAGGGAAGGACTTGGGGGACACAGAGAAGGGGCAAAAGACCCTCAACCCTCGGCTTTGCCATGGCCCGAGTCCACATTCTGTCTGAAAGAAGTCTCCTTATCTCTTGGCGGCTCTGCTCCACCCTCCTGCCTCAGGCTTGAAACAATACTAAAGGCAGGTATAGCCCTAAAACTGGATCTGGCAGTTCCCGGAAAGATTAGGCCTGGAAAAAGAATGCATTAAATCCTATGAAACTTTGCTAAGAATGCCCCAAGAGTTAAGAGTACTGATGTTTGACGTCAACCATAGAATGTGAGCAGTTGCCCAGGTTTCAGGCTGAATGGGCACCACCCTGTCTACCAGACCCTGACCTGAGGCAAATCTCTGTGTTCCTTCAATTGTTATCTATGATCTCTATTTGTTTTCTGTAAACAGAGCCTTTTGACAATGACTAATGAGCTTAGCATTCCTGCTGTATACCCCTGCGTATTTGGTTCTCAATAAAAACCACTTCAAGAGAAGGGCTAGGGCATTCTCCACTACAGAGAATTGCCACCCCCTTTTTCCTGGCAGACCATGAAGCGTTCAGAACAACTTATTTTATTTTCACCTTCTGCTGCAACCCAGGGGGACTCTGCGGGAACAGGGTACCCCCAGCATAACTTGATCATGCTTTCAAAGTATCGATGCCACAAAAAAACGAAAGACTAAATGATTAATGATAAAAGGTGACTAAAGAGACATCATGGCTATACACAATGTATAATCCTAGACCCAATCATGGACGGGCTGGGGCGGGGGGTCGGGAGCAGGGGGCTGGGGATTACTATAAAGGACATTTTTGGGAAGAGAACCAAAATTTAAATATGGACTACAGATTGGTAACTGTATTACATCAATACTTCATGCATTTGTACTACAGTGTGGAAGAGAATTCCTTAGTTTCAGAAAATGCTCAAGTATTTGAGGTTGACTAGGCATAATATCTCCAACTTACTATCAAATGGTTTAGAATTTAAAATGACAGGTTAATAGAAAAAAAATTATAAATGTGTGGACAAGTGTTGACAGTGGCTCTAAGTAAAGAGTATGTGGAAGTTACTGTACCATTATTACAGTGTTTCTGTAAATTCAAAACTTCAAAATGAATGGTTTTTAAAGAGATGCTCAACCACTTATTGTTTCTTTTTTCATACCTCAGGAGCAAGGACAAATGTCTGCATAAATCTTCTCAAAGCCTGGTTGTTATTAGAGAGCAACCCCATCACCTGGACCACCACACCGTCATTCAGAGTGGCATGAGCATCAACATGGCGAATCTTGGTGTGGCAATTGGTGAAGTTCTGTGACATCACTTTCCTGTGGATTTCCTAAGGAACCAAGGGATGGGTTAAAGCCTTACATTTTACACAATCTCCAACAACAACGACAACAAAAACTTTCCAACACAAACACAGGTAAAGAGAGTCTGCATGTTTAAAACAAATTACAAACTGCACAAACCCTATTCTGATTTGTCTTTATATATACATGTGCCAGGGAGCAAGATCTCACATGCTCCTGTAATTTGTCTTAACATGGTATATGCCTCATCACCATCCCGGAGCCTTTTAAAATACTGCCCTAACATACCAAAAACATGTTTCCAACAGATGATCCCCATGCTAAAACCAATTATCTAATATAAAAAACCTTCAGCACATATCATACAAAATGAACAAATGTGACATCATAAGCATTCAATAACTATATTAACCAAAATTACTGAATATGTAAATTTCTACAAAGTTACAAAGAGAAATTAGATCTTTAAATATCAGCAAATCTATTACTCATGCATCTACTTCAATTTCAAGGTTATTTCCTAGTTGCTTAACAGCCCACATGAAGCTTGGCATGCTTACTTTCTGTCCATAAACTGCATCCGCTGGTTTTCCATTTGAATCCAGCCCCCCATGGACATAAGAAGAGTTCTTTCCATAAAATCTGTGAGACAGAAATATAATTTGTCATCTTCAAATATCCTAAGACCAGGCATTTAATTTTCATGTTTGGTGCCTAACTGCCTCAATGGCAGATTCTTGGAAGCAGGAATGTGTTTGCTTTTTTGCCTTCACAGATTCCTCCCTTACGTGCCAGTAAACTTTGCTGAATGGGGACAGACTGTGGTCAATGAGGCAGAACACTTATTTCACAAGTCAAAACTTCCAAGGTTTCAGGGTAGGATGATCATGTTGGGAAGGATCTTGTAAGTTCATGTCAGGAAGGCCACTAAAAATAAAACAAAAGTTCCTGTGTTCAATCAAGAAGGAAACAGGCAGTTTTCATAGAGATGAGGGCATCTGTACTCTCCAGACTTGGAGAGTCCTTTTGTACCTAAGAATACACATAAAAAATACCCATTAAAACCCAGTAACTCATCATGCAGGTGGGTTTTAGTTGTTTTTAATAATTTTTGCTGATGCATTACAAGCTGTAGGCTTTAATACCTATAGCTTTCATTTTTCTATTCAACTGCTTTGTTTTCATTATAATATATACTGGATCAGGGGAGCCAAGTAGGGTTAACCACACTATAAGGGTTTGATGTCTGTATTTCAGATAAACAACTTCTCACAAATAAGGCCATACATGTCATTCAACATCCTGACTCCGCCTCCCCCACACTCCCCAAAGGGGGGAATTGTGGGCCCACAAGATCCAAGCTTCGTTGCTTTTATGATGAGTCAAACTGTTCCCAGCCATCTGCTCCTTAATGCCTGGAGAGGACAGGGCCACCTAGATGCTGGATTGGTCTCTCTTTCTGGACTCGAGCTGAGGGCTGCAGCCGGTCCCCATGGATCAGAGGGTCACCTGGGCAGCCCAAAAGTCACACAGACAAGGTCAGCAATCAGGAATGTCCCCAGAGGCCAAAGGTACTGCCTTCCTGCCCCAACTGCCCCACACTTTGCACCCACAGGGGACAAAAAAGTTCTGAATAAACTTCAGCTTTTTTCTCTCTCGAGGAAAAAAAAAAAAAAGTACACCCTTTAATTGTTAAAGTTATTAAAAGGCTGCTCATTAGCCAGTGAATCAGGTCACTGCTGGCTAAGCTACTTCTCATTATATCTCAGATGTACCTCAGAGATGAAATGTGAAAAAAAGAATGCCTTAGAATCAATAGCAATATTGACAAGAAATACATATGAATATATCATATTTTGCCATGTATAATGCACACCTATGTTTTTGGCCCAAACTTTTAGGAAAAAATTTTTCATTTTAATTTTTTATTTATTTATATTTAGAAACAAAACCAATTATCATATTCCTGGGTATTATTTTGCATACAGATACCATTATTGCTTTCTAGAGTTACACTTTTAATGCATAAGCATAAATAAAAGAATTTAAAACACTTACATAGATACAGAATTAGTACTACCCATGTAAAATGCACATCTTATTTTTCCCCTCAAAAATTTGGGCAAAAAAGTGCTCATTATACTCTGCAAAATACAGTACTCTGGTTAGTTTCTCTCAACTCCAGCTCCTTTTTAAATTCAAATTTACCTAACTTCTATGGGCACAGAATAAAATTTTGACCTAAAACAAAAAAGAAAAAACGTTTGGAAACTTTCTATCACTAATAGTCATATGAATACCAGCAAATTTTTAACTCCTTAACATCTTTATCTGCAAAATGAGGTTAACTCCCCCACAATGCTTTACTAAAAATTTTGGAAAAGATCACGAGGAAATAGGTGAAAGTATTTTGGAAATTGTAAAGTCTTAAGAGAGAGACAGAGATTTTCCACTTTCACAGTAAAGACTCAAAATAAATTTATAAGGGAATCCTCCCACACTGTTGGTGGGAATGTAAAATTGGTACAGTCACTATGGGAACAGTAAGGAGGTTCCTCAAAAAATTAAGAACAGACCTACCATATGACCCAGTAACTTGAAAACATGTTATTTGTAAAGATGTATGTACCTGAGTTCACTGTAGCATTATTCACAATAGCCAAGACTTAGAAACAACCTAAGTGTCCTTTGATGGCTAATTGAATAGGGGTGATACGTACATACAATGCAATACTACTCAGATGTAAAAAAGATAAAATATTGCCACTTACAACAACATGGATGGGTCTTGAAAGTATCACGGTAGGTGAAATAAGTCAGATGGAAAAGGACAAGAACTATAATTTCACTCATATGTAGGATATAAAACAGGAAGCAATAAACAAACAAACAAACAAAAAAACTCATAAAAACAAGCACAATGGTGGTTACCAGAGGGTAAGGGTGGGGGAGGATGAAGAAGGCAAAGTGGTCAAGGGGGTCAGATACACAACAACAAAGGAGACTCTGGGTGGTAGGCACACAATGGAGTACACAGGTGTATGATAAAGTTCTACACCTGAAATGTATATAATGTTATTTACCAACATTACCCCAACAAATTTAATTTTGGAAAACTGATTACAGTAAAAAGAATAAATTTATAAACTTTCTTTTGCATCTAATAATCATGTGTTATCCAATATGCAAGCTGGTCAAAGTATAGAAGAAAACTAGTTCTTGTCCAGCAGACACACATTTTGGAATTTCTAAGAATTTTAACACGTCCACATATACTTAAAAGTTACGTATAATAAAGCACTGTTTGTAAGGGGAAATAATGAAAGCAATTCACCAGGGGATTAAAGGATGCTACATCACTATAAAACAAAAACCCTGTGGATACTAAAATTAATGTGAAACCCCTGTAAAAAGACCCCAGATTATCAAATAAGCTAAAAGATAATACAGTAAAATGTGTGCATATACACAGAAAAACTGCTAGCATGGATTTAGTTCCATGTTTACTTCATTATGTTTAAATTTATAACAAATGTGTATTGATTCCACTAAAAAAAAAATAACCCCAATTTTTTAAAACACAAAAGTATATTAATACAAAAACACTCTTCAATATTCAATACATTCCTACTAAATAATTCATGACTCACCAAAAACAGCAAAACAAAAAACAAAAACAAAAGCATGAATATTATACCTTTACATTTTCAGGAATTATTTTTCTGATAATAAAGTTTTGGTAACTTAAGTCTAAGTTTTAAATTGTATTTGCATACTCTATTTGAAATGATCTCATTTTAACAACCATAATTTACTGGTACTGACACAAAGCACTATTGTGCCACAACTCAACAAGGTGCAGAAAGAGTAGGAGACTCTGAAGGATTAGCACCCACATCCTAAAAAGCAGCAAGTAACACGGCAGGGAGAAACCCTTTTACCTGTGGAGCATGTCCGGGGCCTGGTTCAGCAGCGTGTAGTACTGTCTCACGAATTCCCGCCCGACCAGCAGGGGACTAGGCTTCTCCATAACCATTGCTTTGGTCAATTCAACCTGCAAAAAAAAATCAAATATGTTCAACCAGAAAGATCAAGTCTTATACAAAGGAAAAAAGTGGCAGGGGAGAAGATAATCATTTAGCTAAAACCGAATCAAAGTAAGTCAAGATCACTTCAGAAATTCTTGGTTTTAAAAAGAAATAATTATTATAAAAAGAAAACCCACAGGCCAGGAGAGACTTCATATATCCAAATTTATTACAATCAGCTAAATACTGGGAGGGGAAAAAAAGCACTACGGAGAATTAATTCATCATTATTCCCAATATTCTATTTTCTTAACACTAAATTTAAGCACCTCAAAGGTACGTATTTCTAACATATCCTATCACAATTTTCCTATGTTATTAAACCCAATTAAGTGTTCCAGTTGTAGGAGCATAAACGTATTCTTACTCATGGTATTATTTCACTAGAGGCTGATAAACGTCAAACATTCCCTACGGTTCAAACACACAGGCGCACACTATCACATTCCTAGTCAAACTGAAAGAAGTATTTGTATCTTTACAAACAAAACCACAAAAACTAGGAGTTTTAGATATGCTTAATTTATTCTATACTAGGACCAAAAATAATCTGAAAATATGGACAAAAGTTAACAAACAAAATAATTTGTACTCAACAAAATAATCCCTGCCACGTGAAAATTATCATGATGATTTAAAGTCAGTACCTTGGAGTGTTAAGAAAAGCACCTGACAAATACTAAATCCTCAGTTATTGTCAGTTATTATTTTAAAAGAAACTTTTTAAGGATGTGATTTTTCTAACCGTTCTGCTATACTCCAGAAACTAATGCGAAGTAATAGTAAATGTAAACTGTAATTGAAAATTAAATTTTTTTAATTCAAACAAAAAAAGTAGGAAAAAAACTCTGAAAAGATATTTGACATGAGATAATCTCAACTTTTCATTTAAAGAGATAAAATTGAATTTAAAAGCAAACAGAGCAATATATACAGATTAAGTACACTATTAAAAAAAGGAGACAAATTTTATTTCCATTTTCTTAAAGGACAGGCAAAAGAAACTGAATTTCGTCGGTCACCTCCTGCACAAGCAATTTGTGAAGTTATGTTTACCCTCATTAAATGCATTTACTCATTATTCTTAAATATCTGTCCCACCTACGACTTGTTTCACCAAAATCTAAGAAATTAGTTGAAGGCCTGTTCTTCATTTTCCCCAAATTACAGCCACTATGGAATAGCTTCCCAGTTATTCTGGAGAGAGGTTTGCCTGCAGGCAGGGTTATGAGGTACCAGTAACAAGAACTTAGATCCCCAGTCTTAAACTAATATACTTTAAGTAGACTAACCTGAAACAAAATTAGAAATTGCTGTATTTTTTCCCCTAGTTCTTGGTCCAGAAAAAGATAATTTCAGATGTTCAGATGTTCTTCCTGAACCTAGATTCTTCAGAACTTAAAGATTACAGCTGAACATTAAAGGTTCTTAATAGTCATCTGGCCTTTGATTTCCTTTATTTTTTTTTAATTTAATTTATTGGGGTGACACTGACTAACAAAATTGTACAGGTTACGGGTGCACAGTTCTGTAACATAGCATCTGTACACTGTAGCGTGTGCTCACCACCCCCAGCCAAGTCTCGGCCCACCGCCATTTAAGCCCCCACACCTTCCCTCCGCCCCTGCCATCCCACGCACCCCACAGCCACCACCCTGTTGTTGGTGTCCATGAGATTTTGTTTTTTGCTCAATCCCTCCACCTGGCCTCCCAGCCCTCGGCTATCACAGCCTGCTCTCTCTCTCTCTGAGTCTGTCTCTGTTTTCCTTGTTAGTTCATTTTGTTCATTAGAGGCCACATGCGTGAAATTATATGGTGTTTGTCCTTCTCTGATTCTTCCTGGGATTTCTGAGTTTTAAGATTTCCCATTACTTAAACCAGAGCAACTACGCTTTTTATATGTTCAAGTTCCCAAGTAGGTTTTCCTTTTTTAAAAGAAGCGTTCTTGTTTATGCTAACCCAGTTGCCCCATTCTTCCCCCTTTGCCCTCCTCCGCCCAGCACTCCCGGTCATTCCCCGGACCGCTGTCCTGTCCATGTCCGTGAGTCGTTCATCTGTGTTCAGATTTTCCCTTCTTAGAAGGGCTTAGCTACTACCCTATGCAAACATCACTAACATCTGACCCAACCTCAGATAAAAGGAAAAATCCAATGTGATTCCACGACGTCCTCAGATCTCACAATGAATTTCAAAAATGGAAAACAGGTTTCCCAATTCCTCACAGAAACTGGTAAAGTTAGTATAATTTCCATTCCATTAAGTTGTATTTTCATATTTCCTAATATATTGAGGCTGGACAGACAGTTCTGCTTTCCCTGTCCAATCCAAAACATGCAATACAGCCACAATATAAAAAGAATGTTTTTCTGTTGTGACAGGCCAGGTAAACAGTGCACGTTAAGGAAACTCCTATCTTTCTACTTTAATTGCACTCGCTTCTCTCCAGCGCCGTCTGCTTACTCCCTGGTCAGTATCACACATGCCATCATTACCGCACTTAGTGACATCAACCTGACTTCATCCTTTAATACTGCCAAACAGTCTCATTATAACATAAATTTCTAAAAAACATGTATCAAATACTATTGCTCACAACCAAATTTCCTTTGCAAAAATGAGGAAGGTCCTTTAAGCTGTATATCAAAGGTAAGAAAAATTAAAACCTGTAGACCACCTCTAGAATTTCTCTTTTCCCTTTCTTTGAGACTGCCCAGATAATTCAAATTAAAAGAATTTTAAAAGCTCATTATTGGTTTGATTACACCCTTACCATCATTATTTTATCTCAGGTCATTGTCACAAAGCCAAGTAAGTTAAACATTTATATGCTAAAGTTATCTTCATCTCATTTGTGGATTGTCGTTAACTGCTATTATCCTAAAGCTTGTCAGAGAAATCTGTATCATTCACCAAGTTTCCAAACATTAATTTTCTTTATTAGTTTAACAGTTTAATATAATTGAATAGTTTGGAAGCTCTGTTCTCAGTGATCATTTCTGAATTTCCCAAACAGATGGTACTTTATTTAGGGTTGCAATTTTCAACTTCAGGAACATGTAATATAGCTACATTGAAACCAAGTTTCCAAAACTCTGGCATTAAAGTTACAAGTTTTAATGTCAGTGGTCAGGGTTACTCAAATACCTAAGCAGCCTCCAAAGCTTATATTTACACTACCAAAACTATATGGTTCCACTAAAATGGAAGCTCTGGCTCTTAAATCTCTCCTTTAAGCTCTTCTATAATAAACACTGACCAATGAGCTCAAGGGAAATGTAACAGTATTTAAAAATAATATTCTTATCAATTACGTTGCAATAAAACTCGGAAAAAGAGAAAAGTAATATTCCAATGTGACTGAATATATATAGCATTTTAGTAAAAAGGAACTATACAGATTCACTGTTGAAAGAAAGAGTGAAAGAAAGGAAGGAAGGAAGAAAGAGAGGGAGGGAGGACAGAGAGGAAGGAAGGAAGGACAGATTCCACAATTTAGAATGCCAAAAGCTTCAAGAATTCTACATTAGGAAGAATGAAAGTTCCTCCCTAAATACTACATTTCTTGAAAGTAGAGGTCATTTCTTACAAACTTTCTAGTTCTAAAACTATCTGACACGAGACGAAGTAAAAGTTTGCTTTCATTCAACATTCTCACACAAAAGGAGGAGGTTAAAAAATTATACAAGCCAAATGCATTTCTGACCATCCATCCATCCCTTGGGCTGAACTGTCAGGGTTTGCAGAATTCAGGGTAAAACAACAGGTACAATACTGCGTCTTTAATGATTAAGAAAAAGCCAAAGAGAAAACGAAGGTAAGGTGTGAGGACTACTTGCCAGAGAGAGAACTGACAGAGAACGATCACAGAGGAACCAACCGGTCAGGGCAAGAGAAATGCACGTGTTAGGGCAGCTGCCCACATACAACTGAAAAGCTTTTCAAACTGAACCTGTATGTCCTATAGTCTAGTTTGTAAATTATGCCTCAAAAATTCTAAATAAAACATGCTTCCACATTTCTAAAAAATCCTGAAGACATCATAAAATGTACTGATATAGTTAAAATCACTGTACTACCCGAACTTCCACACAGCATCAGTCACTGTAAAATGTCCAGGGAAGTTCTTGGGTAATCTGAGACCATACAATGCAAATTTTGTAAATATGCTTGTCTATTTAATAACCGGTCTCAGTCAAAAAGAAAATCTTGGCAATTTGAGCCCAACAGATCTGAGTATATACAGACACACTCAATCCTAATTTAAAAAATTTTATTTGGTCAATCATCTCTCTGAAACATTCCTCTTCCTTTCTGGCCCAAAAATAAAAGACAAGCTATGAGAAATATGTGACTACTGTCATACCTCCTAAGAATAAATTTTTAATTTCACTCCTGTTCATCAGAACTCTCAATTTTATCAAATATAAAATAACAAAAGTAAACAAATGCAAATAGATTCATCTCCACAAAACTAGTGTTTTGCCAGTTACTGATGCACTGTGACAACTATAAACTATGAACATCAATGAAAACCCATGCTAAAAAGTTCCAACACATTCTCCCTCATTCACTAACACTCCTGGAACACTGCGTCCTTTTTAAAAGTTTACAAATTTACACAACCATGGAGTCCAGCTGTTTCCAATATAACAGCATACGCCAATGGATACATTATTGGTCAGACTATGAAGCACGTAAATACAAAAATCGAAAGTAGGAAACTAGTTTTATTATTTCAATCCCCACGCTGATGTGAAGAATTCATAAAAGAAGCCACTCCCAAGACAAAGTTCATTAAACAAACATTGCAAATAATTCCAATTTGGAGATCACTCCCTTATTGCACTGCTTTCAGAGCAACAGGATAAACCTTTAGGTGTTTGTATTTAAAAATCACTCAAAAATAATATTCCTGGGGGGCTGGGTGAAAAAGGTGAAGGGGTTAGGCAAAAAGAACAACAAAAAA